ATATGAAAGAGTTGGCAAAACTCTGGAGAAAAGTGAAACCTGATGAAACTTATTATAAATGCCAAAACTGCTAAAACTTTGCCAAAACTATAATAAAACTATAGTAAAATTTTGGAGAAACTAATCGTAGAATTTTGGAGAGGTTTAGGCAGGCAATCTTAATTATTACAGAAGGGTATAATCTGATTTGTTTCTGCCTAGTGGAGATAGAAATAATAAATGTGAATAATTAGATTTAACTGTTAATGTTAAACTTGATATTCATTCAATTACTTTAGTGGTTAAGAATCTTTACCATGTTTAAGGATGCGGGCGAAACTCCATAGTAAACGCGAAACTTAACAAAACTATATTAAAATATTAATAAAAATTTGGCGAAACTTGACTATAAAAATCATATAAAATGACAAAACTATAATAAACTCTTATAAAAAAATTAACAAAACTGAAGTTTAGACGTTTTGCCAAATTCAAAAACCAGTTTAACCTGCAACCTTAACTATATTGCCATAAGTGCTTAGCTATGAGAATGCTTCTAAAACATAAAAAAAAAAAGAAAAAAAAAATCTAAAATATAATAAAATTTATAAAATTTATAATAAAATAATATTTATTAAAATCACCAGTATATTTATTATAAAATCTGTTTAGAAAAAAATGGTGCAGAAAGTTAATACAATTTTAAAATAAACAATGATTCCAGTGATTTACTAAATTTAAAATTCCACTTACTTATAAAAATAAGTTATTGGAAATCTAAAATTATAATTAAGAATTTTTGAAAATTCTACTATATATAAATAAAGTATATCTAAAAAAGGAAATATTACATTAAGTTATTATGATTTTTTCCATTTTAGATTAATTAACCAATAGGATCATTACTAGTAAATTTGAAATTTTTCTTAGAAATCTAAACAGATTCTAATATAACCCTAAATTTTATTAGTAATTTAATCTTTTAAGATATTATTATATAAAAAATTTTTAAATATTTCAGTTTGAACTGGTATTTTGTTACTTTTAAATCTAAAAAATAAAGAAAATAAGTTAGGCAAAATGAAGATTATGTAAATATATAACAGTAAGTTTGTTAAAAAAAAAGCAATAAAAAAATATTTTTTTTTTTTTTAATGTAATAGCTAATGTAATCTTTCCAGACTTAAAAACAAAAAGGTAAGTTAAATAAAATGAAGATAATATGCAGCTAGCAATAAATTTGCTAAAGAGAAAAATATAACTTTTTTTTTAAAATGTAATCCTTGAACTTAAAAGAAAAGGAAAAAACTAATAATTAAAAGGTAATTAAAAAGGAATATTAACATTGTATTTCTTTTTTTTATAAGTGATAGCTTTTAAAAATAATTAAAAGGAAAGTATTTATATTACTGTTTCATTCTTTTATGTAAAAATCTTCAAATATTTCTAGAATGGAAAATTAAAAAGAAACAGAAATAATAAAAATTCTTTCTTTTTTTTTAATAAAAATTGTTACTTTAATTGTTTTAAAAGAGTCTTTTAATAAAAATCTTGTGATATTTTTTATTTTTTGTCAAGAGTTTTTGTAACTTAATTCAATTTGTTTGTAGAATAACTTGACTCTAATTGGTTAAAATTGATAATACTGAAGATTCTTTAAAATGCCTAATGAACAAAGTATTAAATTTATATTACATTTTTTCAATTTTAACAAAATTTAGGCCGGAATTACGATTTTGTCAAGAATCAAGAAAATTTCGGTTAGAATTATAAATTCGATTAACCTACATGTATAAAATAATAATATAATTTTTAATATGTTTATTATAACTGATAAGAAAAATTTGCCCCTTATGTTAGTGATCGATAACGTTTTCGATTCATAATGAATTCTCGAGATCCTAAAAAAATAGCAGCACAATCGAGATGGAAACTTCTCCAATCAGTGATTCTTTCTTCATCCAATACTCAAAATAAGAAAATTTTAATAAATTCAACATCAGATATTAATGATATTTATACATCTCAAATTTCACAAAGACAACATCGAGGATTTAACTTGTTTTCTCTCCAAAAAAAAGACTTAACGAGTGAAGAGTGGTTCACTTATGATCTTCATGATCATTTGACTTTAAATGTCCGGTAAATTGTGATTGATTCTTCTATATACTTGCAAAGTAAACTTTATTTAGAATCTTCGTTATTTCATCTATGTAACAGGATAAAAATTCCTAAGGCAATTGATTTGAAAACATCTTTTACTTCTGAATATTCAGGATTTTTGAATACAGGTAATATATGTATTTGGCCAGCAGAAGAGGTTTTGGGTTATTACTGTATGAAAAATGAGAAATTATTTAGGTAAGTTATTTTAACTCACTTTTTATTGATAAGTATGAATGCTAATATATCCATTTCTTTTAAGAAATAAAAATGTGTGTGAGTTAGGCGGCGGAATGTGTGCATTAGCTGGTTTGATAGTAGCTGCGAAATGTCATCCTCAAAGTGTTACATTAACAGATGGAAATCCTAATTGCGTAAATAATATCCTTTTCAAATAAAGATTGCACAAATGTGTTTCTGTTTATGTTATTCTTAATAATACTATTTTACACATATCCAAACTATCTTGAATTCGAATAAGGATCTTTTCTTTGATGTAGATATATGTTCCATGCAAATGCTTTGGAATAAGAATACGGTATATGACACTAAATATGATATAGTTATATGCGCTGATTGGTAGTTATCTAATATACAGTATGTTCTTGATTTGAAGAGAAAATGGTTCATAAAATATTAATTTTAACTTTTCAACAGCACCTTTGATAAAGAGACACATCACCACCTTCTTCATGTTGTGCGTTCTATCTTAAAGAAGCCAACCAGTAATGACAAGTCAGATGAAAGTTTGTTTATTTTATGTGCACCACATCGAGGTGATAGTTTACAAGCATTTATCACTTTGTTAGAATCTATCAATGAGTTTCGTGTTGAATTGTTGGTAAAATATGATGATAAAATCTGGCAATGTCATGAACGAAGTTTGAAAGAAGAACAAGGATACTATGATAAAGATATTCATTATCCTCTAATTATGTGTGCTTCTTGGAACTTATGAAACTTTGAAATTTTTGTAATAATAAAAAAATTTAACTGAATATTGAAATAACGAAATATTATTATTACAACAAATATTGCAATATTATTCGTCGTAATCGACATCAAATGTATCCTAAATAAACAGAATTAAACTTCTCATTTTTAAAAAAATATATATATAGCTAGCACATAACAAAATAATTTACCTTTGGCTCTTTCGGCTCTTGATCTTCTTCAAACTGAAGTGCATTATCGACGTGTGACATTATCGTTGTTATAGAATCCTCATCTGTAATATTCAACGGTAAAAAACTGACCATGTTATAGTCGTCAATCTACAAAAAAGGAATTTATGAATTAACAGTACATCAAGAAGATCTGAAATTTTGTAAATTTTTACTAACTAGTTGTACAATTGCCTTATTTAAGTCATGAAATCTCGAACTCATTGAGGCATTTGCTTTATCTGTTAGTAATAAAGGGTCAGGGTCGAAATATCTAAATCATGAATAATATTATAAATAAAAAATGACGCAAAGAATAGAATGAATAAATAGAATGATTTTTAAACCTTTCTAACTCCTGTTTCTTGACTTTTCCCAATAAATCCATCTTAGATAACACATTTATATGCGGTATCTCAAGACTGATCATTGCTGACATGGCACTCATCACTCCAGCGAAGAATTTTGAATTATCCTCAATAAATTGACTTTCCAACAAATATACCCCACAAATACGAAAATGCATTCGCTGTAAACAGTCACAAATACGTCTCATAATTGGAAAGTGAGTATAAAGTTCAATCTGACCTTTATTAATAAATAAAAAAAATCAGATAAAATGAATTGTGAACAATAAAGATAAATATTGTAAGAATACCTGGGCAATCGATGATTAAATAATCATCTTCGTATTCTCCTAATTCTTCTTCTAACCAATCCATATTATTGAGTAAGAATCTTTACGATTTAAGATAAATAAATTAGTTGTAAATATCAATATTAGAGAAATTATATGATTACATACTCTAGGCAATATATTAATCCTCCGTTAGGTCCGAATTGTAATTCTTCCATAACATCTTCCAAAGTGATTAAATCCCGAATGTCTTAAATTTTGTATAATTTGGATCAATCTCCCCAAATCTTAAATATTTGAAATTTTATTTCACAAAATACGAACCAATTGAAGGACTATACTCAAATTTCTCGGCAGCTGGATCAAGGTTCATTAAATGCACTGAACGACCAATATTCTGACAATGATTTATCATTGTAGCACAATAAGTAGACTATTCGACAAAATTTAAGTTTTAACATTATTCCTGATTCCAGAGAAGTTTAAAAGCAAATTTTACTTTCTGTCTAACCTTTCCTGTCCCTGCAGGTCCCATTACAAGCTGCACGAAACGTCCCCTGTCAGAATTAAAATCCGTAAATAATTATATAAGAAACATAGATGTTTTTACCTTTAAATCTTACATTATGTATTTCTTTAAAAAAAAAGTAATCAACAAAAGATCGTGATTTAAATTACATAATCAATATTTTTAATCAAAGTTTAGTCCGCTGATCACTGACTAACGTTCCAATAATCTGATAGTTTAAAATGTCAACAAGCAAAATATTTAGAGACGACGTCTTAAAAAACAAAGTAGCTTTTGTTACAGGAGGTAATTTATTAAGTCATAAAGAATTTAATTGATTTATTTTCATTAAAATATGCTTTTTAGGGGGAAGTGGTATATGTAGGGGAATGACCGAAGCTATGATAAGGCATGGGGCAAAAGCTGTTATCACTAGCCGAAGGTTTTGTATTCCTATGATTACATAAATTGTCTTTTTAATGCCAATTACATTGATATTGATATTTTTATCGACTAGTCAAGAAAGACTCGATAAAGCAGCTGAAGAAATGCGTAAACAAACAGGAGGAGAAATTCTGTAATTATTTTATTTTTATGATTATCTTCTACTTTCGTCTAACATAACTCACATATTTAGCGCAATTGCTGCTGACGTCCGTAAACCAGAAGAAATTATAAATGCAGTTGAAAAAGCAATCGAAAGGTTCGGTAAAATTGATATCCTTGTTAATGGAGCAGGTATGCGAACAAATTTATAAGCGTTTTTTTTTTTTGCGGATTTGTATCATCACGTGACATATCTTTTTTAGCCGGAAACTTTTTGGCACCTGTCGAAACTCTCTCTTATAGAGGTTTTCGTACTGTAATTGAGATTGATTTACTTGGAACTTATAACACGACAAAGGCTTGTTTTCCTTATCTAAAGAAATCAAGGGGTTGTGTTATAAATGTTTCAGCCATTCTTCACTATCAGTCTACAATCTATCAGGTAATATTGCTTAACGCTCCTAATCAATGTCAATATACAATATTTGTAAATTAAAATTAATTCCTTTATTCTTTAAAGTCTCATGTTTCAGCTGCAAAAGCGGGGATTGATGCTTTGAGTAGGGTGGGTAATGTTATTTATTATAAGTTTTTTGTACTTTAATTTTTAACACAATTTCTTAAAATTACAAGAATCTTGCAGCTGAATGGGGACCTCATTCAATTCGTGTAAATAGCATTGCTCCTGGTATAATCGCAGAAACAGAAGGTCTGGCAAAATTATTACCTTCAGCTGCCGCTGGATCCGTTACGGGAAGCATTCCGCTTCAAAGAATGGTAAATATGGAAAGATGAAAATATTTCATAACCCATTATATTATATCCTCTTACTTTTTCTATTCATTAGGGAACTATTTCAGATATTGAACAGGCAACAATTTTTTTAGCGTCAGATGCCGCTAGCTTTATAACTGGTCAGATAATTGTTGTAGATGGGGGTGAATCTCTTATGAGAGTCGGTGTTTTACCTTATCCTGAGAGTGTAATTGATCCTACTAATTTCTCAACAAAGAAATTAGGTGTTAAATTGTGAGACAATTCAGATAATATATATATATATATATATAAAATATAAATGTCTAATTCTTCTTTCCGAAAAAATTTATTTTGTAATTAGTACAATATGCTACAATTTGAAAAAAACATGATTGTTGGCTGAATTTCCTCAAAGAAATAAATTGTTTGTAAAATTGTCTTCAATAAATAAAAAAAAATCAATTGTCATCTCTAAACTCACGAAACAGCAAAACACTATTAATCGAGAGATGAAAAGAAATTTTGTTTCACAAACATTTTTTTCAAATTTGATCAGTAAAATTTGATAGTTGTATGTAGTTTGTTAATGTATTTTAAAAAAGCTCATTTCTTAACAAATAAATTGTTATTTGGATGAATTTAACGTAAGAAATTTGGAAGTGAATATAAGAAAATATAACTAAAAATAAAACATATACCTATATCTTCTACATCAGTACGTTATCAAAAGGAACACCTTTGACATCTTTACCTCTCATCGACTGTTTGACATTATATTCAAAGTTTTTTCTGTTTGTTCTCAAATCCTCGGCCGCATCTAAAAAAAAGACAAGGTTAGAAACAATTTATTTTTTATACAACCATCTTTTTCTTCCGAAATTAACTCAAAGAACACCTCTATGAAGTAGCTTTAATTATTACCTTTATTGAGGGGATCATCAGCATTTGGTTCCAAGAACAAATATTGCAACCCTACCAACACAGAATTCAAATTCAAGACAGGTTTCCAATCTTCGCGGAGGATGTTTAGGCATACATTTCCCTCAAGATCGATATTAGGATGATAGATCTACAAAGTAAAATCAATTTCAGCAAGAACAACTGATAGATAACAAGAGACAAAGGATTGGTTTCTTCTATTACCTTTTGGGAACAACGAACTTTTGGTGGGTCATGAGGATAATTATTGTTTATATTAAAGGTAAATCGAAACACGCCACCTCGATAGAATCCTGTTACAGATAATATTAGTAATAAATAACAATAAACCTAAAAGAACATATATAATGACTCAAATCATACCTTCGTCGGGTGTTATAGACAAGTTGAAATTAAGAAGATCTGACTCATCGGGAAAACTCATATGCATCGTGTCGGGAAGAGCAAGCTCAGTCAAATCTGGAAAGTCAAAAAGAATAGAAATAAAGTTACCTTATCGGATATTTTATGGAAAGGAAAAAGAATAACATTGAAGCAAGTAGGAATTCCTCTTGCCAGTAGGGCGGAAAAAATTAAGCTGCGGATAATAGAGGGTCAACAGACCGTGAAACTATGGGCTCAACGATTCATCAAAACTAATTAAACAAAATAGAAACCAGACGGAATTCTTTAAAGAAATAATTTTACCTTTTTGAACACGAATTTGAGCCGCGCTGACTTTAGGCTTCTTTTTTTCAGCTGCAGAATTATCTTTCTTGATCGACCAGATTTTTATCATGTTTGAGAAGTGTGATTGAAAAGTGAAAAGTCTAATGTCTCTAGTATAGTAACTGATGTAAGAGTAAATTGACTTTAATTCAACTTTGATAAATAAGAAATATAAAAGAGCTACCGTAAATATACTTACCGAGTTATTCGAGTTATTATTACAAAGAATAGAGAATTCTTTTGTTTAATAAGAAAATTATTATATTATATACGATAACGAGCATTACCGTGTGTAACCATGCTTAGTAAGCAAGTTTTACTAAAATTAAGTACGACGTTAATACCGATACCTTTTCAAGAAGTTAGAGATATACTGCATCATTTGGTATCAATAAGAAAAATGTTCTATTAACCGTACCCATTTTACCTCTGCCCGTTTAAGTGACAAAAGGCGAAAGTCTTCAGTGGTAAGGTGAGGTGGGTTTTTGTATGGATCTGAAAAATTCCTGCACCTAATGCACCTAACTTTCAAATTTTATAACATTATTTATTGTACTTTTTTTTCATCTCACGTGACTTCGTTTAATTTGTTGACACTCTTATGATAAATCACAATATAAACTAAAAGCTAAAAAGTTGATAAATACTTCAAAAAAGATGCATTTCTTTTTATTTTAACTAATTGATTATGTCTTTGATTACTAGATATAATCATTTGATAGCCATTTTATTCAGATGCTTTATCACCTTATCTTTGTTATTAATAAAGAACTGGCTATATATTGTACCGTTCTTTTAAGTCAGATCGGGTTAGATGGTTTACCCGACCCAAATTTTTTAGATCAACCCGACTTATCAGGTCAGTTTTGAAGCTCTACAATAAATAAATACAAATCTTTTTTATTAAAGCTTACAGTATAGCTTTAATGTCTATTCAAATTTAATTGCTTATTAGTTTGACTATTAGTGAATACAAGTATCTTTAAAAACTAAATTTAATAATAATTTACTGTTTTCTATATTTTATATTTAAAATTTTATTATAAATAGTATTAGAAAGACAAAGTTAGTATAGGTTATAAGTAAATTATATACTTAAAGTATTATTTCTACCAATAAAAAATTAACTTTATTTTTATGGATATTGCTAAATTTCACCAGTGATTGTTACCACTTAATTCCAGCCAAAAATTACAATTTGGCTAGTTTAAAATGCTGATTTATAATTTTGGCTAGAGTTAAAAAATACTGATTGCAAAATTTTAACTTTAATAATAAATATATTAACAAATATTGATTTGACAATTTTGAAATTTTGAAATTTTTGTCAAAAAAAAAACTTTTAGTAAAGTAAAAAATGAAAAAATCAAAATTTTGCATTTTTTTTAAAAAAACAGCTTTTTTAATAGAATTCTGCTTACTTACTAATGCTTATTGATTTTTTGTTATATTGCATCATAACAAATCACTAAAAGTAGTTTATCGGTCATAATATATTCAGAAAAATATACATATTATCCAAATTATTTTGAGTTGTCATAATTATAAGTAAAATCAAAAATTCAATTATAGTATCCCAAATTATTTTGGCATTTTACATAGTAAATTATATAACAAATTGAATGAATTACAGCATCCCAAATTATAATTATAGCATTCCAAAATAATTTGGATAGCATATATACAGAAAAGTATATAAAATATATATATATTTTCAAGTTATCAAATTATCTTCATAAAACTTATACCTTACTCTTTTAGTAACTTATACTTTATTCTTGCACTTCTTTTTATTTATTAACTTTAAAAACATGTTTATTTAACTAATAATAGGATTTCAAAATATACATAAAAAGGTCAGATCTGAGTTTGCGTACAACTAGCCAAAAAAAACATGAGAATCTTTCCTTTTTTAAATAATTCCCAGTAAAAAGATATTTTCTTTTCTGGTCACTCACCAAAATTATCATAATTCTGGCTCTGAAAGAATACATACAGCTATTAGTAAAAAATTTTTGGCTGCCTCTAACTTTTCTATATATATTTTGGGATCCTCTAATAACTTTACTGAAAATTTTGCTAAAACATTTTAAAATGGATTTTACTTAATTTGATAAAGATTCAGGTTTTAAGACTCTTAATATTTTTTTGCAAGATAAATCTTATTATTCCTATGAAAAGTTTTTATACTTAAAATATACTTAAAATTTTATTAAAATATACTTAAAATAAGTATCAATTTTAATTTACGATATACTTACAATATACCTAAAATGTATCTAAATACTTTTAAAATATACTTTTAATGTACTTATTTTTTGCCCAAGTACTTAAATTATATTTAAAATATACTTAAACTAGAATTTAAGTACAATATAAATGTATTTTTTACATGTTTAAAATATTCTTAAAATGTGCTTAAAATTCAATTTAAGTATATTTTAAGTATATAAAAAATACACTTATATTGTACTTTAATTTTAATTTAAGCATATTTTAAGAATATTTTAAACATGTAAAAAATACATTTATATTGTACTTAAATTCTAGTTTAAGTATATTTTAAGTATAATTTAAGTACTTGGGCAAAAAATAAGTACATTAAAAGTATATTTTAAAAGTATTTTAGGTACATTTTAAGTATATTATAAGTATATCGTGAATTAAAATTGACACTTATTTTAAGTAAAATTTTAAGTATATTTTAAGTATAAAGACTTTTCATAGGATATATTGAAGATTACAAACTATTTCAAGCTGATGTAATCATATATTTGGAAATTTGTTTAGGCGTAATTTAGTGTAATATTTTGGAGGTAATGTAAAATTTCAAAATATTACACTAAAAACGTAATATTACAAAAGTTTACGCTTTTAAATTTGAATAATTATAGTAATTAATAATAACTTGCAATCTACTGATCCAATCAAGACAATCTATAGCTTATTGGAATCAACTCATCAAGATGAATCAAATGGTAGTAAAATCACATATTTACAGTTGATAAAACGCTCTATAGTATGCAATAAAGTTTTAAATTAATAGAAAGTTATCTATCAAATGTAAAGATGTGATTTTACTACCATTTAATTTGTCTTGATGAGCTGATTCCAATAAGCTATAGATCGTTTTAATTGGATCAGTAGATAGCAAAATATTATTAAATTACTATAATTATTCAAATTTAAAAGCATAAACTTTTGTAATATTACGTTTTTAGTGTAATATTTCAAAATTTTACATTACCTCTGAAATATTACACTAAATTATGCCTAAAAAAATTTCCTGATGTATTCAAAGTTTCAGATTTTACTAAATATTTCTATGCAGTAATATTATAATCATATTGCTTTTTATTTTGATTTATTTTTTTTACTTTTTAATAAAAAAAAAATGTATTATCATATATATGGATTTGATATTATTGAAATTTTAATAGAAGAGAAGAAAGAAGATAATAATAATGTAGATTTATTTAGTTCTGATGATGAAAAGAAAGATAAAGAAACTAATTATCAAAAAACAAATAGACTTATTGAATATTAATGTAAAAAGAAAGCTAAACTAAATGTTATTGCTAAAAGTATAGTTATCCTGGACGTTATACTTTGAAGTAATACTACTGCTAATTTAATTGAAATGGAAAAATATATAAGAAGCATTGAATTAGATGATCTTATATAGGAGAGGCTTCTAAACTTATTTTTATTAGCTATAGTATTAATAAATTGCAAATTTCATGTATTATAAAAGATGATCAGTAAAGTTAATATTAATGATTTGAAAGAAAAAATTACAGAATTCAAAAAAATCCAAAAAAATTATAAATTATTTTTTTATTAATATAATATGTTCAAATAGGTTAACTTCTTAACTAAAAAATTTTTTTATATAATCTGCATAAATTGTCATAATTTACTCTATAAAAAATAAACTATCTAAAAACTTTTTCTAATTCTTTTAGCAATTCTCAATTAGGAAAATTGATTTCTTCTTGAGTTCTTTCATTTAAAATTTCTCTGAATTTTAATCATTGTTTTTTTAGTTTTAAAAGAATAAAACTCAGTTATTTTTTTTGCTTTATTGAACTCAAAAGAGATATACCATTTAACTAATGGCTTTACTGAAAATTTTAAATAAAAATACTAACTAACAGTCATTGATAAGCAAGCATAAGCTACTCCTAGCAAAAATATACTATCTCAAACCAAATTTTTGTTATTGAATATCAACCATCTGTTATTTATTGAAATTATTACATTTTGCATATAATTAACATCTGACTTATTTTTACTAACCTAAATATTATTTTGTGATTTTTGCGGATCCAATTATAAGGTCTGACCACAATATAAATATCTGATTAAATTTTTTCCCAAAAATCTAAATGGAATAATTCTCTTGTAATTCTATAAAATATTTTCTTTAAAAAAATAAAAATCTTTTTTTATGTTAATCAATAAACTTCAAAAGCCCTTAATCGGTTTTCAAATTATTAAATTTGTTATTAAATGTTGTGCTTATGTAACTTAATTTATAATTATTTAATCTTCATTAAACTCGTCTATCCCACTTTTAGATGGGTTTGTTGATACTTCGTGATTTTTCTCAATAATCAAATCTTCTTCATTACTAGCTACTTTCACTGTCCTGATTCGGGCAGGCTCGTGATTTTTGATAGATCCCTATATATCAAAATTTAATGTAGTTTACCCGCGTATAAAACGCATAAAAATACATTCAACCTTAAAAACTAAAATTTACCTCTATTAAACACATAGCCAATGGATTAAGTATTTTCTTCTGTATTAATCTGTTAAGTGGTCTTGCACCTATATAAGAAATAAAAGTAGTATAATAATACATGCGCGGTATGAGAATTCAAAATTTATAACGTACCATATACAGGATCATATCCTTTTTCGGCTAACCAAGCTTTAGCATGTTCATCTACGTCGACTTTAATATGTTTATCCTTTAGACGCACTTGAACTTCTCGTAAACGTACGTCAACGATATCTCTTAAAGCCATACGAGTAAGACGGTTGAAGACAACCTAAGTTAAAAAAATATATTTTTTTATTTATTTATTTAGTTAACATCGCAGTAAAATGAACGAGTATTTTTAACAAAAAAATTTACCATATCATCTATTCGATTAACAAACTCTGGTGGGAAATGCCTTCTAACAATATCTAAAACAGCAGATTTAGTCAAATCGCTTACTTTTCCCCCTTCCGTGATATCTGATGCTGCCAAAACATCTGCACCAAGATTACTTGTCATAATGATAATGGTATTTCGAAAATCTACCTTTTTAAATTGAGTAGTCAATATACGAACAATAAATATTTGATATTTATTATGAATTATCTTAAATACTACCTTTCGGCCTTGAGAATCAGTAATAAAACCATCATCCAAAATTTGAAGTAAAAGGTTGGCGACGTCTATTTATCAAATAAATAAAGGTAAAGTGCCCGATTTTGAAATAATTACAATATTGAAATCTTACATTTTTAAACCAACCTCGATGTGCCTTTTCCATCTCATCCAGAAGAACGACAGCAAATGGTTTTCTTCGAATAGCCTCAGTAAGTTCACCTCCTGTAACATGAATTGCATAAATAGGAAACATGAAATTAACAAAAATCGGGAGGGAAGATAAAAAATTATAAAATGGAAAATAATAAATACCCTCTTCATACCCAACATAGCCAGGTGGAGCGCCGACTAATCTCGATACTGCAAATCTTAATAAAGCGACAATTTTTAACTTTTTTTTTTAAAAAAAAAACTAGTTACTGCACGTAGAATATATAATACCCACTTCTCCATATATTCACTCATATCTACGCGCACAATAGAAGACTCTGTATCAAATAAAAACTCTGCAATCGCTTTACATAACTCCGTCTTTCCAACACCGGTTGGTCCCAGAAATAAGAATGAGGCGATTGGTCTGGAGGGACTTTGTAAGCCTGCACGACTTAGTCTTATTGCCTCTGAAACAGCTTTTATCGCTTCGTCCTGCCCAATAACGCGTTGTGAAAGTTTTTCCTCAATATGAAGTAACCTATCCCTTTCACTTCGTAACAAGTTATGAATGGGAATACCCGTCATTCGAGATACTACTGCTCCAATATCATCAGCTGTAACTCGTTCATGTATTAGTGATTCGGAACCTTCTTCTTCACGATCTTGAGGAAGCTTTTTCTCTAAGTCTGGAATAATGCCGTAACGCAATTCACTAGCTCGGGTGAAATTGCCTTGTCTTTGGGATGCTTCTAGTTCTATTCTTGCTTGCTCTAATTGAGATTTAATACTTTTTATTTCACCCAACTTAGCTCTTTCTTCCTGCCAAAGTAAATTAAGCTTGTCTGATTCTTTTTGTTTTTCATCCAGTTCTTTTTGTAGTTTCTCTCTACGCTCTTTAGATATTGGATCTGTCTCCTTCCTCAATGATTCCATTTCTATGCGAAGAGTAATTATTTGCCTGTCAAGATTTTCGATTGCTTCAGGCTTACTTTCTTGTTGAAGACGAAGTTTTGAGCACGCTTCGTCGATTAGATCAATGGCCTTATCAGGAAGGAACCTATCAGTTATATATCGATGAGAATATGTGGCAGCGGCAATCAAAGCTGAATCCGCAATGCGGACTCCATGATGAACCTCATATCTTTCTTTAAGACCCCGTAGAATTGAAATTGTATCTTCAACGGTTGGTTCTACAACCATAACTGATTGAAATCTACGCGCCAAAGCCGGGTCCTTCTCGATATACTTGCGATATTCGTCAATGGTAGTTGCACCACAACATCTTAAGGTTCCTCTTGCCAAAGCAGGCTTAAGCAAATTTCCAGCATCTATTGAACCTTCAGCCTTTCCCAGTCCAAGTAAATTGTGTAATTCATCAATAAATAGAATTAGCTTTCCTTCGGACTCCTGAACTTCACGCAATATAGTTTTGAGACGATCTTCAAATTCGCCCCTAAATTTTGAACCAGCTATGATAGAACCAAGATCTAAAGCTATAACTTTTTTGTCTTTGATACTTTCAGGAACTTCACCATTTATAATCCTTTGGGCAAGGCCTTCTGCGATCGCAGTTTTCCCAACACCAGCTTCGCCAATTAACACAGGATTGTTTTTTGTTCGTCGGGACAATCTGATCATTACTAATTAGAACCACTCAAAAGAATTGATTTCAATGAAAAAATCTAAAGATGGGGGTACTTACACTTTATTTTGAATAAATAATAATTAGCCAAGAAATTTCTCGAATTGTTACAATAAAAAGACATTTAAGTATCGTAAAGGCTAACCCTGTATTGTGCGCCTGATTTCTTCTTCACGGCCGATTACGGGATCTAATTTACCTTCTGCTGCAAGTTTGGTTAAATCATATCCAAACTCTTCTAAAGCTGAACCTTTTTGTGTCGGCGGTGCTTGGTTACCAAATATCCCACCTACAAAATTATTAAAAAAGCAGTAAACAGCAAGTCATTGCGTATGCACATAAATAATTAGGATAAATAAGTTACATTCTTAAATACCTGGTGCTCCATGTGTTCCGTCATAAAATCGTTTAAATATAAATTTTGAACGAAAATTCGCATGCAAGGTGTTGGAAATTTGAAAAACTTGTTTTTTATTCTTAATTACATATTTATGAAAATTTCTTGAACTCTGCGCAAAGGCAGAATGCTTCGATAGAGCAGGACAATTTTTTAAAGAAGTACTTGTCAAATAATTGACTTGACGTGAAATATAAATTGTCTTTTGCACAAAACGAGACATTGTTCATTCAATCATTATTATTAATCAAGAAAATTTATCAGAGATAATTGTAGATCATTACCTAATTAAGTAAAAAGCATCTTTTAATAAAGTCAGGGGGATATAGTTAGTGATATAGTTTTGACGCGTTCCCTTTGTTTGCTTTGTTTGAAAATCAAATGTCACAAACAACCGCTGTAGAACACATTTCACTCAAGGAACTTCCACCACACGTAATTTCATACCTTTCAAGTTATCCCCCTTCTGAAAGATGCAAAATTACAAAGAAACTTTTGGCTTATGCCGTCAGCAAAATAGAGGTTAGTGAGCTCTTGTAAATACACATACACTTCAGGAACTCGAGTTTATTTATATTCGTTTGTGGTCTAGCAAAAGTCTGAAAGTCTGCAAGAACCAAATAGACATTATCAGCCATCTGATTGGTGGAGTCATGAAGAATATAGAAGAAAAAAAAAGAATAAAAAGTCTTCAGGAGTGCCAATTGAAGACCGGTGTGTGTATCGGTTCATTTGCCATTTTACTGTTTTAATTAAGTGAATTCGAGCGAATGGTTAATTATAGTCCCAAAGAGAATGGTTGACGAAATGACTCAGACGTCCGATGCTTATGTTCGTACTCCTGAAAAGATGCCCAAAGGCACTCGTGGATATAAAAAGTTATTTGCAGGTAAATATTATAGATGAGTGGTATGGTATTTGGAAATAGCTTAAACTAAAGTTAGTAAATAATATATTTGTAGAACCTCCACGTCATAAATTGTTGGGGCATAAGAAGCTGATTGGTTCTGAATTGTAATATGGAATATACAATCGTGTTTAGCGTTTACTTCTCTAGATATTTATTTACATATTTTTTTTTTTTTTGTAAGTGAAAAGACTACAGTTATATCAGTAAGTTCATCAGCTGAACCTTCAAGTTCTGATACAGAAAATGAAGATGATGTTATGGTTGATAATATGCATAAAAAGGATCCTTTTTTCGTCGCTTCAATTAAAAAATCGGGGACGAATTTTTTGAAGAAGCAACAACGTAATTATTATTTTAATTTAAAGATTGCATATTAGACTTTTTTATATATCGATTCTTTTTCAGAAACAAAAAGATTCGAGTTTTCGCCACGATCACCTCCGACACCTCAGACTCCAACCCAAATTTACATTGTCAAACCTGGTAATAATGATGACGGCTTTAGTGAGCTAGCACACAATAATTTTATCTTGAAAATTTCTAATGAATTTTTCCTGTACTTTGTAGATAAACATCAATCGACACACTTATTAAAACATAAACGGACAGTAAAGTTAGCAAGTAAAAATTCCTCGAAGGGTAAGGATAAGGGTATGTAACATCACAAATATTTAGCTTAAAATTTATTCTCAAAATAATTAATGTTTCTTTGGCTGAATAAATTCAAACAGCTACCCCACGCAGTCCTCCAAAGGTTAAATATAAGACTACAGTCGAGATTGCTGATGAATTTCTTGAGAGTACCTTCATGGCTTACCTTGAACCTCCACCTAAGGAAGATGATGACTTGGAACGTAATAATGATTTGGAAGAAATCATTTACAAAGCTAGACAAAAGGTATCGGAAAAAAATTATTTACATAACTAATTTCATTTAGATTAGCAGAACAATTTTTATTGTTTAAAAACAAGTTGTTGCTTTGTATAAACGTAAAATATCAATTTTAAAGTCTAATACATTACAATACTATTACAAAATTTGATGTCGCCGATCAAAATTATCTAACCAATCAAATCAAATGTCAAATTTTTTATTTGTGTTAATAAAAAAAAAAATGAATATTATAAATCAAAAGTATTTAGTACCAAAATGCATCGAATATTAGAATTTTATTCAGGCATTGGTGGAATGGTAAAAAAAATTTGTTTATATTTTCAACTGTTAAAATAAGTGTGTTCTTTTTTAATATCGAATTTTTCGTTTTCTTTTGAAAGCATTATGCTTTCCAACTATCAAACAACTCTGGCGAATTCCTCGCAGCATTCGATGTAAACACAACAGCAAATTCGGTATACAAACATAATCTCGAAAAAGAAAAGAAAAAATCAATTGTTCAGCAGGTACTTGGTATTTCTATTCTTTTAACTTACAGTGTTGCGAAATAGTAATTTTTCGGTTTTTTGTTAGAGAAGTATAGAATCATTACCAATAAGTTATTATGATTCGTTTAATGCCAATATATGGCTAATGTCTCCACCATGTCAACCGTATACTAGAATGGGATTACATCAAGGTTCATCTGATCCACGAGCAAAATCTTTTCTATATTTAATTGATATGTTATCAAAAATGTCTTTTCCTCCCACTTACATTTTAATTGAAAATGTCAAAGGATTCGAAGTGAGTAATTACGAACAATGTTATTAATAAAGATAGCGCAATTTATTTAATACGTCGTTTTTATAGGAATCTGATACTAGAAATACACTTGTAACTCAATTAAAAAATTGTAACTATAACTTTCAAGAATTTTTTATTACACCGCTACAATTAGGCATTCCAAATTCAAGGTTAAGATACTACTTGCTGGTAAATATAAACATAATACGTATATGTGGAGGTACCTTTTACAATATTAACGAAACTTAAACACTATTAATATAGGCAAAAAAACAACCATTTGACTTCAAAGTGTCTGATTCAAAAATTTTATACTATATTCCTTGTTCTCGATATAGTCAGCGCTCTAATGATATAATAAAGATATTAAATAATGAAGATTCAGATTCATTACTCTCAAAGATAAATATTAGACCTATTAGTGATTTTCTACAAGATGATGTTGATTATGAGAAATATTCTATTCCCAATAAGGTAATCGTAATATTGTAATTTATTATTTATCTATCTTTGCTTGTTTGTTTACTAATTGGTTATAGACCTTGACAAAATATGGAAAATTGTTTGGTAAGTCAAAAAATGTTTTATTTAAACCTTGCTATACCTTGACAATGAACGCTCATGTTGCTTACAGATATAGTAAAACCATCTTCGCGCCGTAGTTGTTGCTTTACCAAAGGTAAATATACGTTCTATAAATAAGTGATCCTTTTAGTTTCCGCAGAAAGAAATAATTTCCAGTTTTTTATAGGTTATCATCATTATGTGGAAGCAACGGGTTCAATCTTACAATTGGACGAATTTTTAGATGTAAATATTAACTTCATTCATTATTTATATCTCAACTCTTATCTTTATTCACATGACAATTACTTACATAGTCAGATCAAATCTTCAACAATAATCAAATAAATTCATCAATTTCGGAAAATACTATCAATTTAATTTTAAGATTAAAATTAAGATATTTTACTGAAAGAGAAGTTGCTTCAATTATGGGATTTCCGAAGGATTTTTCATTCCCTGAAGAAGTTACCTTAAAACAAAGATATCGTGTTTTAGGAAACAGCCTTAGTGTTAGAGTTGTTGCTGAATTAATAAAATATTTATTGTTAGATTAAATAAATTTCAAATTAACTTTATATCTTTATTATAAGGGATAAGAATTCATTTAAAAAGAAACAAGAACATTTAATGATACACTTTTATATTTTCATGAGGAAATCCTTATCGATCCAAATCAGAAATTTAAACAACTAAGTTTATTTGAATTTTTCCTAAGCTGTCATTATCATTTGGCGTTAGAACCTAAACTCATCGTCTCTTTAACTTCATTACTTTGATTATCATCTAGAACAATAATTTTTGGTTTCTTCTTACAATTTAATGATGATTGAATATCCATTATTATATTAGAAGATTCTAAATTTTCATCATCAAGATCATCTTTAAATATGATATATGAATTTGATTTTTGTGAAATTTCGTTTGATAATTCTCCTCTCCCATTCTTAGTTTCATTATCATTCATAATTATTTTTGGTTTAGTTGAATTATCAAAGGTCGACTCTTTTGGATTTATTATGATATCACACTCTGAAGGTTTTTTTATTTGTTCGAATATACCTAATCCTAAATTCTTGAATATATAATCATTGTTTATATGGTTAAAGCAATTTGATAGGTAAACTTTATAAACGAAACTATTTAACGTATAAATTACCATTTCTATTATTTTTTCTGCACCTTCAACATTTTCAATGTCAATACTTTTAACGTCTTTTTTTTCTAGTTCTTTATTATCTAATGCTATCTGTGGTAAAAAATTAGCGATTCTTGATAACACTATAAAATTAAATCATGCATTAAATAATTTATTTTATGATTAAAGCAAAAATAAACTTATCTCATTACATTCTGGAGGTTTAAGTGGAAAAGTTTTCAGCTCCCTTTTGGTTGGGTTCTTGCTTGTTATACTTTCATTTAGAAGGTCAACTAAAATTTACTAATTACAATTAATTTAAAGTTTTTCATTTTTTTTTTCATTTTATAGTTTAAATTGTACTAACCGATTTTTTTAGAAGCGCAATCATTTTCCTCAATTTCTAAGAAAGCTTTTTTGGTCTTTTCAGGCATCATTTTATAAATGCAATAAGTTTTGTGTGAAAAAATTTTTACTAATGATTGATGATCAGTCTGAGATAACCCTATCATATTCATTAAAAAAATATGCTCATAGATGATCGGCATTTTCTTAGATTAGTTACCGATAAACAATTATAAACTTCCTTCTCTCCAATTTGTATCTAAAATAAGCATTTCATTTATGACACTACTATCAGTATCTCTGCTCCATAAATAAAACTTTATAAATTTGGTAAGAAAATTCATATTACATACGTACAATATATATAAATGAAAGATAAAAATTTTATTTAATAGCTAAATTTGATTACGTCCTCCAAACACTAATCATTCTTTCTTTTTGAAATTGATTTAGCAATATCACAAAGAGAACTTACTAAACCAATAACCTGAAGTTCACTGTCGGTTCCAGATTTAATGACTAACTCGGTTTTGGCAATTTCCATTAGAAAATCATTATAATAATCTTCTTCAATTTCATTTTCGGAAGCAGATTTCATAAGTTTCATCATTGTCTGAACAATATCCAAAGCAGAATAACCATCACCATATAATTTAACAACAGCATTAAAAACGTTCTTTACTTCATAACGTATACAACGTTTAAGCATTTCCATTATATATTTAGGATCTGGTACATCACACACTTTGTAAACATTTTCCTCATCAATCATACCAAATCCTGAGTATGTAGATTGAAGGTTATTAATAGCTTGTCTCATATCTCCATCAGCTGTAAATATGATTGCTTGTAAACCTTCAGGAGTGTATTTAATATTTTCTTGCTTTATTATATACAAAAGTCGTAATGCAACTTCTTCTTGTGATAAATTGGTAAAAGATAATTTTGTTATTCTGCTCATAATTGCTTCATCAATTTTATCTTCATTATTACATGCTAAAGCAAATCTTGTTGTATCAGAATATTGCTCCATAATTGCTCGAAGTGCTTTTTGCGCTGGATCAACCATACTATCAACTTCATCCAAAATTACAAATTTTTGTAATCCAGGAGGAAGTGTAACCTTTGTTTGAGCAAATGCCTTAACCTTGTCTCTAATAACATTAACAGATCTACAGGTGGTTTCCGTACAGCAAAGAGAAATAATATTAAACAAAAAAAGAAAAGATGTTAAAATAAATTATATATACTCATACCTTTCATCAGAAGCATTAAGCTCCAGAATAGCTCTTTTAGCTAACTCTTTTCCGTATAGTTCGTTAGCAAGGCAAACGATACTACTAGTTTTACCAGTACCAGGTGGTCCCGATAATAAAAAATTTGGTATATTTCCTTTTTTAGCAACATTCTTCAATATATTTATCGAATGTTCATTTCCAACTATGTCATCAAATGTAGCTGGACGATATTTTTGGAGCCTATTAACCGCGTATAATGTTAAAAGAATTTATATTTATAACATCTAAAGACGCGTTCTTTACAGAATACATTACCACGGAAGGTCTGTTATTGCTACATTAGCTCTTGAAATAGTAGACATTTTCCTCGTGTTAAAACTTTTAATCCTTATGAACTAAATAATCTTATGGATAGAACTATGATTATTAGCGTGCCGCGTAAAGTAACTGGATCTTCAGCCAATCAGGTGATTATCTTTTATTTTTGAATGTAAAGTTATTATCATTTATTCGGCTTCTTTTACAATGTCAAAAAATATAGTTAAAAAAATACCCATTTCCAATTTATCTCGAAAAATAATAGATTTACGTACGGGTTTGGGTGCAGTCAAATTAAAACCCGTAGTAAAAAAAATATCGTTGGTGTACAGTGTGAAAAATGATAATGCTGGAGCAAGGTAATAATGGTAATAATTTGTATTATATTTTTTTCGGGTTACTCGATTTAAAAAGAATTTTTTTTTTTTTTTAAGATATTTTAAGAAAGAAAATTTGCCTCGAATAATTTATAATAACCCTGGATTGCCAATTGAAGTTTCCGTTTTGAAAGAAAAGGGGGTTAAACCAACTTTAACCATAGAATTCGGTATAGTCATTGACATTTAAATATTTTCTATATTTTAATTTATCAATTACTTATTAATATTATCTACTAAAGATAATTCAAAAGATGAAATAATTGATTTAACGAAGAAGATGTCAGAAGATATATGTATAGAGTTTATACAAATTACGGATGCTAAACCCGCAATTCTCATTTGACTTTTAAGTTTCTTTTATTTTTCTGATCTTTGCAACAAAAAACCCTGAAGTGTTAGAATGTATAGGATCAAATCTTACAAGTTTAAATAAATCTGTGTTATTATATTCATTCACTTTTAGAGGTGCAGTTTTTAGATTAGCAATGTTCGGAATTGTTTCTAAACGAGCATTCTTATAATTAGCTAGAAACCATTCTATTACATCTTCATTTTGTTTTTTTGATAGACTACACGTGCTATAAACTAATATTCCATCGGGCTTAAGCAGACTCCATCCATTCCTTAATAAATTTCGCTTTAAATGTGAATCGAGAAATAAATGTTAGCAAGAGGTGCAAAAAGTTCCTTGAAAAATAGGTAAATAGGTTGATATCTTTTACCTGTAAATCCCAAAGACTATTAAGACGGTCCGGATTTAAGAAGTTTTTCTCAAATGTTTCCCAACCATATTTCTCGTACTATAAATGATTATTATTATAAGCGTAAGAAACAATAACGAAAAAATTTAAGAAATTTATCTTACTTTTAATATGTGGGATATCGAACCATCATGAGTACATTCAGCATCCACAATAACCTAATAGTAAATAAAATGCCGGACCTTTATAAGTATAAAATGGCATACATACATACATAGCTCAATTAGCTCATGGTTCAAATAAATTCACCTTATCATATAAATATTGGCTATCCCGTTTTTGTGGATCATTTCTCAATATTTTAGGTGTCCAAAAAGGTGTTATTTTATCACTTTTATCTTCTGGATTTTTTAACCTATTTTCATTTATGTGTAATTCATGTAATTGACCAATCATTTTTTTTATAGGTTCCAAATATGAAGGAGCCAAAACATTAAATTTTGTTCCATCTTCTAGAAATAATCTAACTTTAGTTATTTTATATTTTTTGCATAAATTTTTACAAACAGATAATCTATTCTTAGAAATGTCAACACCAGTAATAGTACCAATTCCAACATTATCTAATATATTAGAAATTAAACACAATTTTGCGCCAGGAGCGCAACATAAATCTAATATATGATCATTTGGATGAATATCGAGTGAATATATTGCTATAGCTGAACTTAAATCTATACCAAATATTTTCCCTTGTTTATAAGCCGAGGAATTGGCTATTTTTGTTACGGAAGGAAGAGAAAAAAAATGTGGAAAATTTGGAACCTTCTGAATTCGAGTACAAGAAAGTTGAAAAGACAAGTCAGAAGGAGAAGGAAGTTGCGAGGAAGGAAAGTGCGTGTTTAAACAGATGTAGCGAGGCAATGATTTGATTGTATAAATATTCGGGTCTATATCGTTCGTTTCGAGAAATTGAAGAAAAGGAGGAGGAAAACAAGATAAGATTTGAGAAGAGTTTTCTTCGTCAACATAATCATCACTTAGAACGGACATTTCTTTTTTACCCAATCACAACCACCTAATTAACAAGGTTATGATGCAACCTGTTGTATTTTTTAAATATAAAAGTAAGATAGTGAAATATATTCGTCGATGATCTATATACCCGACGGATCACGGATGATCCGCGGATATCCGAAACTGGATCCGTCAATTACCACAATTTTTGAGAGGTCCATATTTTTGCCATTCAAGGTCTTCTTACTAGATACTCAAGTATGGTTGAAACTTGCTACCAAAATTTCGCCGTAAAAGCAAGTACCAGAAGGAGATATTTTAGCAGGAATTTTTCCTTGCTTTTAACCAATAATGCAAGGTGTCTGACAAGATACGAAGTTTCTTAGTTATGATTTCAAGTCTGATATGGTTTATTGAAAAGTATTAGAATATTATGGGCCAAATTTTCAGCAAAATTTTAAATAAAATTTATTATTACATTAGTTATTATTACAAGTAGACTAATTTCATTAATATAACTCATTCATGGTTAAATTGTTACCGCTATTACTATAACACAAAAGAACAATATAAACCAAGAACCAATTTATTTTTTTGATTTTTCGGCATCTAAAGCAGCTTGAATTTGCTCAGTTATCCACTTTGCTTTTGTAGTAGCAATTTGAGAGCAATTTATAATCGTTTCCATTTTTAAAGGTGTACCTCCAGCTTTTGATAAAGCACAAATTTCTTTATGAATGTTTAATGTCATTGTCATATCTCCTTGACGAATTTGTTCTTCTTGTAAAGTAGGATCTACAACAACATATTCTCTAAAGGAAGAAACGTTGATTATCGTTAAGGCTTGAAAGAAATATTATTTAGTCCTTAAACTTACCCATTCTCAAAGAAAGCAAATGTTACGCAAATTGGCATATGATGTATACTTAATGGAACAGGATTTCTTTGTTCAATTGAATGCTAATAAATAAATATTAGTAAGTTCAAGTAAAACAGACGCGTAAATTTCAAAAAGGAGATTTTTTGATAATACTATTGTCACTTCTTCTCCTATGACAGTAATATCAGGTCTTCTAAAATGAGCAAGAGCAGATATCGCAGCAATGCAAGCCGCGTCGATTATATTTCCATCGTGATCAAGAAAATGTATGTCAACGCGTATTGACCACACCTATTTATAAAAATCCAATCACTGATTCAATCAATATATAGTTTATAAATATTTTCTCGAATAATTTATAACTTACTTTCTCATTAGCAACAATACATAATCCTTCAGTATCGATAGCTCGACTTCTTTTTATAGCTTTTTCAAGTATGCGACTTACAAGAATTTCCTCTTCGGAAGGTCTTATTATAAGTAAAAAAAGAACTTACATAAACAAAATTTAATATTTATTATCTCCAAAGCAAATTACCTTCCAGGTTCTACAGAAGGAAAAGCCATTGGTGACATTTCTGTACTCAAAGTTATCATGCCTTCAGCAGGGCGATCTTGATAAGGTCGCATTACTTCACAAGAAACTTTAGCCAACACCCTATCAAACATAAAATCTCAAAATCACTCTCAACAGAATAACTTTAAATATTATATGTTACCTAGTGTTTCCTAACGTTACTTCAGAGCGACCATAATCTGGACCAAATGTAATACCTAATTGTCTGAAATCATATATATCGCGATTATCAAGACGTAAACCTTCTTTTATTCCTTGCAATATAAAGTCTTTTTCATTAATCGAAGACTCAAATTCTTTAACCATAGTAAAGATGCGTGTTTAATAGGAGTCAGCGCTGCGCCTTGCATTTAAAAACTTGATGTGATCCGCATGCACTTCTCAACAAAATTTTCTACCCCACGTGAAATAAACAGTGACGGATAAGGGGTGACGAATAACTTTTTACATACTCGAAAAAAACTAAGTTTCTAAGATAAATATAAAAAGTGGAAACGCGGTGGGTGTGACGGTTGTGATGAATAAAATGCAGTCACGTGTCTGCCACTTTTTTTTCGCCATGACTAGGGTTTTAGGGACTTAATTTCCCAAAATTATTTTTTTTCGCATCCCCTTAACAGTTAAATGTCACCAGTCACGTGGGTAGAATTTTAATTATAAAATTGTTGGTGTTACAACGGTAAATACGCAAAAAAGATGAAACGTCTTGTCGTATTTGATTTTGATTGGTATGATAATTAACGTTCCAGCTTTTAAGTATAAGAATCGTTTTTAATACGAGCCGTTTATCAATATAGGTCATTGATAGATAACAATTCAGATGTATGGATACTTGAACAATTATCGAAAGAACTTGCAGAGAAAATTGTTGAATTACGAAAAAAAATTCAATGGACCGACTTAATGCATGTTATTTATGTTATTTCAAATTTAACGAATGATCAAAATTTTAAATATTTTATAATTTATTAGACATATGTTGTTGGATGAATTACATCAGCAAGGTGTAACGAGACAACAAATAGAAAACGCATTAACAAAAATTCCATTTGTAAGTACCTAATAATATATATTGGTCAATCTCGTAATTAACAATTTAAATTGTTGTAGGACCCGGCCATGATTGAAGCATTGAAAATTATTAAACGCGGCAAGGGAGAAATTATAATTCTTTCGGATGCTAATACAGAATTCATTGATATAATACTAAAAGTAAGTAAAATTTCTATTTCATGTAATGTTTTCGAGTTTTTTTATAGATTCCAGATGATTGATTATTATTAGGCATATGGAGTAAGGGATTTAGTATCTTTTATTATAAGCAATCCGGCAAATTGGGACGAAGATGGTCGATTACATGTAAAAAGATTAATTTCTCCGGAAGATTCTCCTCATAAATGTGAAAATCAATGTAGTGTAAATATTTGTAAAGGTCGTGAATTGGTTAATTATTTGTCTTTACATCCAGATGGATTTAATCAAATTTTTTATGTTGGTGATTCGTTAAACGATTTTTGTCCAGCTACTAAAATGTCGAGGTATGCAAGATTTTTAACAAATAATTTATCTAAAAAATATATTTACTGATTGTTTTTAAATCATTAAGGAATGATACATTTTTGGTAAGAAAAGGATTTAAATTAGAAAAGTTTTTAGCTTCATCAAAGAATGAATTAAAGCCAAGGATTGTATATTGGCAAGATGCTGAAGATTTTCTGAATGCTATACTATTAGAATTTAAATAAAAAATATAAATTAAAAAATTCCACTAACTCTACGTCCTCTAAATTACTCTCGTGCTTTTTCTAATTCTCTTCACAGTAGCAATATTGTTACTTCATAATCCTAACCATTTCCTTTGCCCAATTCCATTTTTTTTAATTAAATGCCTAGCTAAAAACCCTTTGCATAAACGCCATAACTTCTTACTCTCTACTTTATAACCAATAAACTCCAGTGAAAATCAGGATTATTCCCAGGAATAAATTTTAATAGGATTAGGACATCGATTCTCGTTGCTTGATAGAATAGAGAATATAATTATAATATTAAAATTATACAATAAATAGAAAAATCCACTCTTGTCCTACAGAAACTACAAAAGAAAGTAAGACTTTGCCGACCCCGAAAATTTACTAGTTATGAACTAACAAGAAAGTAGGTTATCAAGTCTTTAATCCCTTCGAAGACATTTGACCTTCAATAACTAAAATACGGCCTAATAATCATATACTTATCTACCGGCCACAGTACCCCGGTTGACCTTGTACTACCATGTCTAATGTCTATAGCTCGGATTTTTCCTTTCTTGAATAAGACTCGGGGTACTATATGCAGCACGGATTATTTAGCTCACAGTGCTTTTCTGCACATAGAAATCTGTTCTTTGTTTAACAAGGATTCTGACTAGTTCCCTCCCCCTCTATCGTCAATATTACTTATATTCTCCAAGGATATTGTTATCTGATCTGATTGTTCTTCACTACTATTTGTTAATTGAGCAATTTTTGTTTCCAATTCTTTTATTTTGTTTTCTCTTTGTTTTTGATATTCAACACTTTTATCTTGAAATTTTTTTACTTCTTCTCTTTCCATAGACAATTCGGCCTCTAATTCAGTAATCCTATTTTTTTGTTGTTGTAGTTGCCTATCTTTTTGCTCTTTCAGTTCTCTCAGTTGCCTTCTTTGATCAATTGTAGATTGATTTATGTGTCTTTGTAAATTTCTATTTTGATCTTGTAAGTTTGTCAATTCAGAAGGAATGTTATTAATTATTTCTCTTTGTTTAAACTGTTGAAATCCAAGCATAAAGATACCAAATGAAAAAGTTGCCCAGGCAATGCTTCCAACGACTAAAAAAATAATCTCAAATACACAAAGGAAATTATTTTTTCCAAGGTAACTACTTAACATTCTACAGCCGGGCTTAAATGCGGCTGCACTAAGAACAGTAAAAAATAATGCAACAATAAGGGAATTTTTAATCACTTTACTTATATCCATAATGTGTTATTTTATAACAGTAAGTTTCCAAAACCAATATAATTTTAGATATAGATAGAGCTACTCAAAAATCTGATTTAAAAATCTTTTTATACGGATATTTAAAAATAAACATTTGTTTTGTATGTACGAAATATACAAAAGATTATCTCCATGTACAGATTTATCATCAATGTTACTTTCGCGTACAAATTTATCTGAAATTTAGGGGTTTAACGTACTGTACAAAAAATCTCATATGAAGTTACAAATTCACTATTATCTAATGTAATTTACTTTCTCTTTTTTAATTGATTTTCTTTTATAATTATATATCAAGTATCTCGATTATAATCAAGAGCTCATCAAGTATAATTTACAGTAAACAGAATAATACAAGCAAAACAAAAATGATAAGTAAATCCTCTTTATATTGATAGATATTATAGTGTATTTTTATCAAACTATTAAGGCTAAAGTTTTATAAAAATAAAATTTTTCTTTGTAATTCTTATAGTTTTTACTTAAAGTTTATATTTAAAAAAAAATACTAATTTAATAGATTAGTTATGCTTATAGCAGAAAAATCTGTAATTCCATATAACTAATAAACTCATGAATTGCACTACCTTGCAAAAAAAAAAAAAAAAAAAAAATTT